GAGGAACAATTCGCGACAGAACCGCCCGCAGCCGCAACCGCCGCACAGACGAGGTACCTTTCATCGCCGGCTGCAGCCACTTTACACGGAAAAACACAAGGTTTCGTGCTCCGGCTTCCTCCCCAACACAAAGCCCATGCAACATCATGCAGCCATTCCAATGCGATCTGCCACCACAGCTTCAAGAAGCGCATGGAACTACGCACACAGGAACAACCACTCGTTGCAAAACACATAGGAGGAACAATTCGCGACAGAACCGACCCCAGCCGCACCCGTCGCACAGACGAGGTACCTTTCATCGCCGGCTGCAGCCACTTTACACGGAAAAACACAAGGTTTCGTGCTCCGGCTTCCTCCCCAAAACATAGCCCATGCAACATTCATGCAGCCATTAAAATGCGTTTCGCAGCCCACAGCTTCAAGAAACGCATAGAACTACGCACACAGGAACAACCACTCGTTGCAAAACACATAGGAGGAACAATTCGCGACAGAAACGACCCCAGCCGCACCCGCCGCACAGACGAGGTACCTTTCATCGCCGGCTGCAGCCACTTTACACGGAAAAACACAAGGTTTCGTGCTCCAGCTTCCTCCCCAACACAAAGCCGATGCAACATCACGCAGCCATTCCAATGCGATCTGCCACCACAGCTTCAAGAAACGCATAGAACTACGCACACAGACACAACCACTCGTTGCAAAACACATAGGAGAAACAATTCGCGCATGAAACGACCGCAGCCGCAACCGCCGCACAGACGAGGTACCTTTCATCGCCGGCTGCAGCCACTTTACACGGAAAAACACAAGGTTTCGTGCTCCGGCTTCCTCCCCAACACAAAGCCCATGCAACATCATGCAGCCATTCCAATGCGATCTGCTACCACAGCTTCAAGAAACGCATAGAACTACGCACACAGGAACAACCCCTCGTTGCAAAACACATAGGAGGAACAATTCGCGACAGAAACGACCGCAGCCGCAACCGCCGCACAGACGAGGTACCTTTCATCGCCGGCTGCAGCCACTTTACACGGAAAAACACAAGGTTTCGTGCTCCGGCTTCCTCCCCACAACACACGGCATGCAACATTCATGCAGCCATTCCAATGCGATCTGCAACCACAGCTTCAAGAAACGCATAGAACTACGCACACAGGAACAACCACTTGTTGCAAAACACATAGAAGGAACCACAACGACCGCAGCCGCACCCGCCGCACACACGAGGTACCTTTCATCGCCGGCTGCAGCCACTTTACACGGAAAAACATGGAAAAACACAAGGTTTCGTGCTCCGGCTTCCTCCCCAAAACATAGCCCATGCAACATTCATGCAGCCATTCCAATGCGATCTGCAACCACAGCTTCAAGAACCGCATAGAACTACGCACACAGGAACAACCACTCGTTGCAAAACACATAGGAGGAACAATTCGCGACAGAAACGACCCCAGCCGCACCCGCCGCACAGACGAGGTACCTTTCATCGCCGGCTGCAGCCACTTTACACGGATAAACGCAAGGTTTCGTGCTCCGGCTTCCTCCCCAAAACATAGCCCATGCAACATTCATGCAGCCATTCCAATGCGATCTGCAACCACAGCTTCAAGAACCGCATAGAACTACGCACACAGGAACAACCACTCGTTGCAAAACACATAGGAGGAACAATTCGCGCATGAAACGACCCCAGCCGCACCCGCCGCACAGACGAGGTACCTTTCTTCGCCGGCTGCAGCCACTTTATTGGGCACACGGAAAAACACAAGGTTTCGTGCTCCGGCTTCCTCCCCAAAACATAGCCCATGCAACATTCATGCAGCCATTCCAATGCGATCTGCAACCACAGCTTCAAGAACCGCATAGAACTACGCATACAGGAACAACCACTCGTTGCAAAACACATAGGAGGAACAATTCGCGACAGAAACGACCCCAGCCGCACCCGCCGCACACACGAGGTACCTCTCATCGCCGGCTGCAGCCTATCTACGCACGTGGCAACATCAGATGACGACAATCAAGCAGCCATTCCAATGCAATCTGCCACCACAGCTTCAAGAAACGCATAGAACCATGCACACAGGAACAAGCATTGTTGCAAGACACATAGAAGGAACCAAACGACCCCAACCGTATTGTTATGTAGTGCAAAGTCTCACACCACCCTTCATCAAGGTCAGTTCTTTCCTGATGTATTGTTATGTAGTGTAAAGTCTCACACCACCCTTCATCAAAGTCAGTTCTTTCCTGATGTATTGTCATGTAGTGTAAAGTCTCACATCACCCTTCATCAAAGTCAGTTCTTTTCTGATGTATTGTTATGTAGTGTAAAGTCTCACACCACCCTTCATCAAGGTCAGTTCTTTCCTGATGTATTGTTATGTAGTGTAAAGTCTCACACCACCCTTCATCAAAGTCAGTTCTTTCCTGATGTATTGTCATGTAGTGTAAAGTCTCACACCACCCTTCATCAAAGTCAGTTCTTTTCTGATGTATTGTTACGTAGTGTAAAGTCTCACACCACCCTTCATCAAAGTCAGTTCTTTCCTGATGTATTGTCATGTAGTGTAAAGTCCCACATCACCCTTCATCAAGGTCAGTTCTTTCCTGATGTATTGTTATGTAGTGTAAAGTCTCACACCACCCTTCATCAAGGTCAGTTCTTTCCTGATGTATTGTTATGTAGTGTAAAGTCTCACACCACCCTTCATCAAAGTCAGTTCTTTCCTGATGTATTGTCATGTAGTGTAAAGTCTCACACAACCCTTCATCAAAGTCAGTTCTTTTCTGATGTATTGTTATGTAGTGTAAAGTCTCACACCACCCTTCATCAAAGTCAGCTCTTTCCTGATGTATTGTCATGTAGCGTAAAGTCTCACACCACCCTTCATCAAGGTCAAGTCTCACTCGCGCACCACCCTTCATCATAGTCAATTCCATCAAGTAAAAGTCATTCGTAACTCGGAAGTATTGCTTCCCAACTTCCTTTGATAATTAGTGTAGAGTAATATAATTAGCGCAGTGTAGTGTAGTGTAGTGTAGTGTAGCGTAGCGTAGCGTAGTGTAGTGTAGTGTAGTGAACTACCGCAGTGTAACGTAGCCTCATTTATTGGCATTTGTAGGTGTAGTTGTAGTAGTAGTCTTGTGTAATGCAATGCGGTGTGGGGTAGCGTAGTGTCGTTTAATTAGTGCAGAGTAGTGTGATGTAGTGTAGTGTAGTGAAGTGTAGTGTAGTGTTGTGTAAACTGTTGTTGTAAGTGTAGTTTTGGTGTAGCGTGGTGTAGTGTAGTGTAACATAGTGTGGTGTAGTGCAGTGGTAGTTGAAGTTGTAGTTGTAGCTGTAGCTTTAGTTGTTGTTGTCGTGTCGTGAACGTCTAAAAGTCGAACGAATGTGGTGTGTTTTGTACATTTTGACTTCGACATGTGCTTCGCGCCACAACGGCGTGCACTTTTTCGACATCGCAACTTCCAAAAGTGGTCAGGACATGGTGTGTTTTGTACATTTTTACTTGGAAATGTGCTTCGCGCCACAACGGCGTGCACTTTTGAACATCTCAACTTTCAAAAGTGTTCCGGCGTTGGTGTGCTTTGTACATTTTGACTTGGAAACGTGCTTCGCGCCACAACGGCGTGCATGTTTTCTTCTCTCATCTCCCCAGATGGCTCCGCACCTCCCGCTTTAGCGAGCCTACTTTTCAACCCTCCGGAGCCACAAATCTTTGGAAAAACACAGTGTCGCGCACCTATATACATCTTCTTTCTTCTGACTCTTTCTCTTCTCTGAGCTTCTTTCTTCTTCTCTTCTCTGACTCTTCCCACCTCTGCTTTTCCATCTGTCCAAATAGTCGGAAGTTTGACTTCTAAACTTCCTTCGATGATATGTGTGTATATATATCATGTATTGTACAGATGTACTATATGATACATATATATATACTTGCTGTAAGGCACAGAAACTGGAATTGAACATAGAAAACGTGGGTGGTTCAAGCCACGAAAAAAATATTGAAGACACCAAAGCGATCGAAAAAGTATTTATTGTAACCACCAACGGAAAACCACATTCATCATCTATCCAAACTCAACTTACAGGATATGCTCTGGTGCTTCATTACAAGCTCGGGGGTGTCTGGCTCACCTTCTGCAAAGTTCAGGCAATTCACTCCACGACCCTCTCCTGTACTGAATCTTCGTAGGTGTGCAGCCCGAGAATAAGAATTCATCCACATGAAGCACTGCCTGCCCGATGCAAAGGACCCAGGACCATGGCAGATTACAATAGATTGCCAGGATAGAACTTGGGGACAAACATGAAGCTTTCTCAGAAACAATGGGGACATTGACCATCACCTTGCTAACCTTTGATTCCTTACGGCTCCGACGAAGTTTCCCGTCAAAGGCTAGATCAGCTGGCTAGATCAGTGTAACTAGACTGGCACTGGGCAAATGGCGCCATTCCCTATGATGGCGTCTGTATCACGCTGTAGCTTCATCAAAAAAAATGTTTGGATTGCCTGTTTGCCAGCCAG